TCACAACAATGTCTAAGTACGTAGTGAATGGTTATAAGTTTCATATAGAGGATTGCTCTAAAAGTAAAAATAGCAACAATAACGGGGTGTGGGTTCAAGGTGGTGATAGCAACCAAGTTGGAGATATTGATTATTATTGTGTGGTCAAAGAAATATTACAACTAGAATATACAGGTTGGCCATATAAGAAATTGATACTCTTTAGATGCAAGTGGTTTGACCCAAATCCAACAAGAGGTACAAGAGTACACAACCAATACAACATAATTGAGGTTAATCATACGAGGGAGTATGATCGCTATGATCCTTTCATAATTGCACATAACGTTAGGCAAGTGTATTATGCTCCTTATCCATTGCGGCGGAATAAGTCCGATTGGTGGGTTGTAATAAAAACTAAGCCTGTAGGTAGGGTGGAAGTCGAGAATGTGTTAGATGTTGCATATCAAAACGATATCTCCAATGTTCACCAAATAGTGGACGATCAGTTAGAAAATGATTTGGAACATCCTGAACGCATATTGGAAGAAGTTGATATAAATGAAGTAACAATTATAGAAAATGAGGACGAAGAATCAACTGATGAAGCTCAAACAAGTGAGGACGAAGAATTCTCGGACGAGGAACAATACGTCGATGAGGATTAAAAAGTTGGTTTTTTAAAGCACTCTCGTTTTATAGCTAGTTTCTTATATGTTTCAATCTAAATGTGTATTATATTATGCAGATGGCAGGCAAGGGTCAAGGTAACAATGACCCTACTAGTTCTCGGGGTCGAGAAAAGGGTAGGAAGGGAAAGAGGAGGGTAGAAAATAATACTCCCTCTTGTCCACCCTTTTCAGAGATGCCTATGTCTTATCCTCCACCACACGGCTATACTGAGCTGCCACAGCATCACGAGCCGTACACCTTCATTCAGACACCCAGTCTTCCATCACAGTGCCATAGGACTATACGTCCGACATACAGTCCAGCTGCCTTACAGCCATCTGTTTCACATCCACATGGATCACATCCCTACATATCACAGCCACATGGATCGCATCCACCCATGTCACAGCCACTCGGGTCGCAACTATCGGTATCACATCCTCTTGGGTTGCATCCAGCTATGTCGCAGTCACAGGGATCACAACCATCTTCATCATCGACTCCATCTATTGCAGGCCTTCGCCTGCGAGGCATTAGCTCTGACCCGCCTACACCGTCTTCACATGCCTCTGATACACATGCTTCGGATGGTGATGACGAGGTAGTGCATTATGATCGATATGGCAGGATCATCATAGTCCCTGAGGGTGATGGGTAAGTGTTATTCATTATTTTTGCGTCTATTGATTTGTAACATTTTTACTAAGATATTAATGTGTTTTTATTGTTAAATTGTAGGTTCAGGCCGGGTAATAAGACTACGAGGATAATCACCAATGCCATCAGAAAGCTTTATGATGGCCCTTATGCGACTTGGACTAATTGTCCATTCTCACTAAAGGAGCAAATTTTCAATCAATTTAATGTATAAATGTTCTTTTAAACAGTTTAATTATTTATATTTATGATGTTTCCATCTAATATTTAACTTTTGAAATACAGAGCAAGTGTGTATGGGAAGACCGCTATAGCGCGGAAGTGGCTACAAATTTTCATCATAAAGCTCGCAAGAGATTAGCGGATGCTTTCTCGGATGCTAGAAAGAAGAATAAGAGGACTGGCTGGTTACTTGAGAATTTGTGGAATGATTTGCAAAGGCAATGACTTACCGCAGAGTTCTTAGAGAGGAGCGAAAAAGGAAAGAAAGCTCGCGCATCCGAGAAGGGAGGCTCCTTGCACACTGGAGGTGCGATCAGCCTAGGGACAATAAAAAAAAAGATTGGTACGTAATTGCTTAAATTATTTTATTTTCTAAGTATATCTATTCTGTTTATTATCTAAATTAATTTGTTTTCAGGAAAAGAAGTATGGGCGTCCAATGAGTCATGATGAGCTATTCAAGGAGACACATATTGTGAAGAAGAAGAAAGAGGGGGATCAAGATAGGTGGGTCGAGGACCGGGCCTCGACTGCATATGTAAGCTTTCAATTTTCTTTAAGTATTATAATTTACTTTTATAAAAATTTTGAAATACTGATTTAATTTAAAATAATATAGGATCGCTACCAAAGTAACGTAGAGGAATTCATCCGTAGTCATCCAGTTGGTGAATTGGGTGAGCCAACCCAACCTTCGGACGAGGATACTGAAAGAATATGGTTGGAGTCTGTTGGCGGTCCAAAATGGGGGAAGGTATACGGGCTTCCTACTAAAAACTTCCATCGCTATAAGTGTGGAATGCGAGGAATAGGGACTTCCTCGCAAGGCGAGCAACTTAATAGGGAGAGCCTCTCCGCTATGCGGGAGACAGTGACAAAGCTCACATCAGAGCTAGAAGCGGCCAAGGAAAGAGAAAGGCTTAGAGATGCTCAATTCCTTGGCATGCAAGCTCAGATCAGAACTCTCCTATCTAGTGGAGCTTTTCCGTTGCCCCGATCTCGTGAGTCATCTCCAGAGGGTCGACCTCCACGTGATCGTTCCTCCCGTCCTGCTCGTGATCGTTCCTCCCGTCCTCCCCGTGATCGTGCTTCCCGTCCTTCACAAGACCGTTCTCTATATCGTCTTGTAAATGAAAGTTCATCAGACGGTGATGATGATGTTGTAGAAAATACCCCTTGACTTTTATATACTTTGAACTAGACAAATAGAACCAGTTTTGAACTAGTTGTAATTAGTTTTAACTTGGTTTTGGATTTTTATGTTCAATTGAACTTTAATTTGTTAGTTTTAAAGTATTTATTGAATGTTTTGGTTGTTGTTGTTGTGTTGTTGTTGTTGTTGTTGTTGTTGTTGTTGTTGTGTTGTTGTTGTTGTTGTGTTATTGTTGTTGTTGTATTGTTGTTGTTATTGTTGTTATTGTATTGTTGTATTGGTATGCTGGCAGGTGGTGTAACTGCCAAAACAGGCATTTTATGCCAAAATTAAATCCAAAAAACCGATCAAAGTTGGTCGGTTTTTAATAAAAAAAATAAATTATTCCAAAATACCGACCAAATTTGGTCGGTTAATGAACACTGAATTCCCAGAATTCAACATTACCGACCAACTTTAGTCGGTATTTTGCTTGCATTGTTGAGATTACTGACCATAGTTGGTCGGTAATGTTTAATTTTAATTATTTTTAAAAAATATATATATTCAATTACCGATCAAAGTTGGTCGATTTTTTTTAATTTTAATAATTAATAAAAAAACATAATTTAGTTAAACCGACCAACTTTGGTCGGTAAAATTAAATTAATAAAATATGTTTCCGACCAAAGTTGGTCGGTAAGTAATTAAACTTGTCAGATGGTCATTTTAATATACCGACTAAAGTTGGTCGGTAATTTCCGACCAACTTTGGTCGGTAAGCCATTCTGACCATCAAAACACCGTCCACACCGTAATGGTCGCGTTTTGGTTGGTAATTTGCTATAACCGACCAACGTTGGTCGGTTTTGTTGGTCAGTTTTTAGCGAATTTCTAGTAGTGCAACTTAATTTTATTAGTACGTTTCATATTCCCATCGAGTAAAACTTAATGGTGTAAATGACGTTTTTTTTTCTTCTTTTGGTATGTCTTTAACAATAAATATTCAAGTTTATTGGCTCAACTAATTTAGATTCATATAGGGTAGATTCACTAAGAAAGATAAATCGATAGATTATATATTCTCGAGACTTGAACTTAAGACCTGGTTTAGGTTGAGTAATATCAAACATCGTGGTCAATGTGGGTGTTGTCACGATCCAAGTTCATGACACGTATTGTCGTTTTTGCCCAATAGACCTTAAGAATTTGTCTGTTGGGCTATGTTATCATCGAACCCAAAAGCATACGGACCATGTGAACTTCAATTGTGTCTTATAATGAAGCTTTTCACTTTTCCTCCCATTTCGATGTGGAATTCGCCTAAGATGATGTGAACTCAGAGTCTCTGATATTATATTATAATAGCTCAGTCGGATAGTGATATTGTTCGCTTTGGACATAAGCCAATATGATTTAAAATTATTAAAATGGAGCTATGGACTGCCATTGATGAAGAAGAAGCAAGCTCGAGGATGAAGAAGATTAGAGCAAGAGAGAGAGAGAACAGTTCTCTATTTTTCTTATTCACCGACTCAAATGTACTGTACAATGCTATATTTATACTAAGGGATTAATGAGCTAACTAACTTCTCTAACTACCTATCTATTACAAATTAACAGCTCATTTACAGCTCACTAACAACTAATTGTTTCCTAACTAATCTTCTAGAAGTATACTTTCTTAAATAGCTCTCTGTACAATCATTCACAGTTTATCTAATATTTCAATACTCCCCCTCAAGTTAAGAATGAAAAAATGTTCTTCATTCCCAACTTGGATAGCAGATAGGCATGTTGTTGATGTCCCAAGGCTTTAGTTAGTATGTCAGCTGGTTGTTCTTGACCGGATACATGTGAAGTTCTGATAAGCCCCTTTTGAATTTTTTCTCTCAAGAAATGACAATCTATCTCTATGTGCTTTGTCCTCTCATGATATATGAGATTACCTGCAATTTGCAATGTTGCTTTATTATCACAATACAAATTCATAGGCATCTGCAAATCTATTTGCAACTCTCTCAACAATCCACTAAGCTAGACCAGTTTTGCAACTGTATGTGCCATGCTTCTGTACTCAGCTTCTACTGAGCTTCTAGAGATAGTATTCTGTTTCTTTGCCTTCCAAGAAATAAGAGATTCTCCTAGTTTGATGCAGTATCCTGTTACTGATTTTCTTGACATTGGACAGGATGCCCAATCTAAGTCACAGAAGGCTTTTATTTGCTGGCTGCTTCTGCTAGACATTATGATGCCAATACCTGGTTATTTCTTTATATATCTCACCACATGTAGTGTAGCTTCATAGTGAAACTCCTTTGGAGCATGCATAAACTGACTTAAGTTTTGAACAACATATGAGATGTCTGGTCTGGTGATAGTGAGGTACAATAACTTCCCAACTAGCTTTTGAAACCTCCATATGTCTTCTAGTATCTCATCAGTAGTATTAGTAGTCACACAAGCATCAAAATCCACACTTGTTAGTTTTAAATTTTGCTCCATTGGAGTCTCTTTTGGCTTTGATCCTCCCAATCCTACTTCTGAAATCATCTCACGAGCATATTTCCTTTGTGACATTAAGATACCTTCAACAGACCTGGCAAACTCTATCCTCAAGAAGTACCTCAATTCCCCAAGGCCCTTCAATTTGAAACTCTGCTAAAGTGTATCTTTGGCATGCTTAACTTCTTCCATATCATTCCCCGTTATAAGTAGATCATCTATATTCACAAGTACAAGAACAAACTTATCCTTAGTGGATTTAGTAAACAAGGAGTAGTCATGCTTGCTTTGACAAAAACCAGAATTCAGAAAGGCTTGAGTTAGTTTTAGATTCCATTGCCTTGATACCTGTTTCAAGGCATATAGAGATTTAAGTAGCCTACACACTCTATGCTCCGCTTGGCTACTAAATTCCTGTGGAATTGTCATGTACACCTCTTCCTCAAGATCCCCATTGAGAAATGCATTATGGATATTCATCTGATAAACATGCCAGTGTTTAAGAGCTGCAGTAGCAACAACTGCTCTGACAGTAGTGAGTTTAGCAACAGGAGAAAAAGTATCATGAAAATCTAGACCCTTTTGTTGTGTATAGCCTTTGACAACTAATCTAGCCTTAAATCTTTCTACAATACCATCTGCATTATACTTGATTTTATATACTCACTTACACCCTATAGGGACCTTGACTGCTGGTAAATCAACTACTACCCAAGTATGATTTTGTTCTAGAGCCTCAATATCAAGCTCCATTGCTTCAACCCACCTCTCATCCTTAACAGCTTGAGAGAAGGTAAAGGGTTCTGTATCTGAAGAGAATGAGGCTAGAAAAGATTGAAAATGAGCAGGTAGGTATGATAGGATTGAGGATGTACAGTCCACCCTTAGTCTAACAATCCCTTTCACCATGCCACTGAAGAGGTCCTGAATTAAACAAAAATCTAGATAAAAAGTGACGGAACATTGTAATTCCTTAGTGTATTTAGATACTGATAAAATATTGTATTTAAACTGAGGGATATAAATCACATTGTGCAGAGTTTGGGAATTGGATATACGACAGGATCCTGTATGAGTGATATGTGTACTATCTCCTTTTGGCAATTGAACAGAGGTAGTACTACATGACAGGTAAGGGGTTGGACAACAATTCTAAGGATGAAACCATATGATTTGAGGCACCTGAATTAATAATCAAATAATCACATTTACTAGTAGATTTACCTGCCATATTGGCCATCTCAATTGCTTCGGGTCCTTTTCCCTTGTTCAAAATCATGAGAATCTGTTGGTACTGCTCAGGAGTAAAAACAGGTCCAGCATTCCCAGTCTCAGTGTTCTGTGGATTCATGGTTCCAACCTTTTGCAAATCCTCTTTGATATGCACAATATGTGCCACAGCTGTAGAACCATCATATATTCCCCTTTTCTTATTAGTGAACTTGAACCCGGGTGGATAACCCACCAATTTGTAGCAAGTTTCCCTCGTGTGGCCCTTCATATGACAATAATCACATTGCAGATGTGCATTTCTTTTAGGTCTCATATTAGAGATATTGGCCGATATCAAGCCACTAGCCACACCTTCCATATGTGCACTTCCCAGAATTCCACCATTCATTCTCTAACCCTCCTCTTGTATTATCATTGAGTAGGCCTGGTCTAACGTAGGTGTAGGGTTCATCATCAAAATTTGGCTTCTTTGAGGAGCATATGTATCATTGAGTCCCATTAAAAACTTCATTAATTTTTGTTGATGCACAAATTCAACAAAGAGTCAAGACTTCACACAGTCGCACCCAGGAAAAGGAATTACTGACTCAAATTCACACTAAAGATCATTTAATTTCGAGTAGTATATTGAGACACTAGAAATACCCTGACTCAACAGACTAATTTCCTTGTTCATGTGATACACTTTAGTCGCATTCACTTTATCGAATCTATCCCTAAAGGCTGCCCAAACTTTCTGTGCATTTGAGGAATAAACTATACCTTTTCTGAGCTCCTGTGCGACTGAACTCATGATCCATGATTAAACAATCGCATTGTACCGTTCCCATTGGTATGTGCGAAATGCATCACCTTCATATTTCTCCCTTGTACATGTTCCATCAATGAATCATATATTATTATTTATTAACAATGACATCTTCATTGATCGACTCCATTCCGAGTAGTTTTCAGTTCCGATTAACAGTTGTGGAACAAGTGTCAGCCCTGGCGTATCCGAAGGATGCATATACAGCGGATCGTTGCAATCCAGTTGCGGATTGATTGCATGCAGTGTTCCAGACGAATTCGTTGTCACACTTTGAGAAGAATCGCCAGCCATTACTGCTAATTTCTTAGAAATTGAGGTAGAATCGAAAAAAGGAAAAATTTTGACCTAGGAAAGACAGAGGTGAAAAATTGAGAAATTTATTATCCTCAGTGACTTCTCTCTTCAAATCGCAGTGAACCTGCTCTGATACCATGTTAAAATAGAGTTGTGGACTGCCATTGATGAAGAAGAAGCAAGCTCGAGGATGAAGAAGATTAGAGCAAGAGAGAGAGAGAACAATTCTCTGTTTTTCTTATTCACCGACTCAAATGTACTGTATAATACTATATTTATACTTAGGGATTAATGAGCTAACTAACTTCTCTAACTACCTATCTATTACAAATTAACAGCTCACTAACAGCTAACTGTTTCCTAACTAATTTTCTAGAAGTGTACTTTCTTAAATAGCATTATGTACAATCATTCACAGTTGATCTAATATTTCAACAAAAATACATCACTAGGTCTAAAACTTGTTTACTTATATATACACGGTATCTTTTTTGCGTTACGTTGATATGAGATTGGATTGGGTGTCAAGAAAATGAGCCCTAGGACATAAAAGATGCTGCTGTCCTAGAAGTTTATCTGATGAAAGGAACTGACTGTGGAAAATGATTAATTACGTTGACTTATTAGTTAACCACATGACATTGATAAATGATGACAATGCAAAATGATGAGTTCATTTGGCTGAAATTAATGCAGGCTTTCAAACAATTGGATGGATAATCACAATCACGCATGTACCTCATTATTACTCTCATATATATGGCGGAGTTTCACGGTTAATATTTAGCCTACTAGCTTGTTTGGCCAAGAAAAAAAAAAAAAAAATTCAAAGTTGAAATTTTTGACTAAGCTTTTAGAAAAAAAAAATTATTTTTGATTAGAAGCAAAAGTAGTTTTGGAGAAACAGAAAAAATGAGTTTCTCTCCAAAAACACTTTTTTGAAAAATACTTTGAGAAAAATACACGTAGAAGCAGTATTTAAATACTTGGTCAAACACTAATTGCTTCCCAGAAGTGCTTTTTAGGCAAATTAGCCAAACACAAACTGCTTCTCGTCAAAAATTCTTTTGAAAAAAAATACTTTTGAGAAAAAACACTTATCAAAATAAGCTAATTTTTGCCTGTGGGCCAAATAACTATTTCTAAGAACAAAACAAAGAAATTTTGGTCCATTCACACATTCTTTGTGCATAGGTAAAGACTTTTAACGTGGCCAAGAACATGATGTAGGTGCCATGAGAAATGATTTCCATGAAAAGTGTTGTTTGTGACCAAAGCTAGGATAATTAACTACATTCTTGAGTGCGTACCAACTCTTAGCTTGAAATCAATTTGAAGTTTACTATTGGTTTTTGTGGCCAAAGAAATTTAAGGAAATTGAAAGCGTATACAATAAATTAACTATGTCTCGATGCTTATATAATTGGAGTCAGTTATATGTAACATTCGTATTCATCTCAAAATAGTTGTGAGCGATTACAAGAATTTGTGTTTTAATTAACTCTCTTTGGACCAGCCACTTAGTTTCATTGACTCAATGTTAAGTGGATCATTAACTTCAACTATTTTTTACTGGCTTCTAACTTACAACAGTTGACTAATTATACATGGGAAAAATCATGAAAATTTTGACTAATATTAAATTATGAACTTATAATATCAGCAATAAAGTGAGTTCAATACTAAAACTTTTAAAAGCTAAATCCATTTTAAATCTTGAATCTACCATTTGAAACGGGCTATAAGCTGGAAAGATAAATGGTAGAAGTCAAAGTCAGAGACTCAGAGATTAAGATTCTCAAACATCAATGGAATCAACTGACGTGTACATTAATGCCAAAGGAGAAAAAACCATCGCAGTTCACATGCTGATATGCATTTTATATAGTATAAATTTCATCATCTGATGCTTCTTTGATTTTAGAATAATAGCACTGAGAAGTTTGTCTCTTTGGTCAAAAATGTTTGCAGCAAATACAAAGGACAGAAAGAAAGGCAAATTAAAGAGAGAGTGGCCTTTGTGAATAGAGAGAAGTAAAAAGAATAAAGGATGGAGTGAAGAATACCAAAGAGGTCCGGACAAAGGGGCACATTTTGCTGTTTTGTGCCAAAGGCAACAATACTATATTGCTGAGAGCTAAAAAAAAAGACTAAAATAAAAAGGAAAATAAAGGTATTAATAAAGTGACCAACTAGCTGATAATAATCCTTAAGCACTTTAAATTCTATCAGAGACAAAAAAAAATGGATAATTTCTTCTTATTTATTCCCTCCGTCTCAAATTATCTGTCGTGATTTTTAAAAATAATTGTCTCAAATTATTTGTCATTTTAGAAGTTTAAGAGAAAATTAACTTTTTTTCTTCATTTTACCCTTAATAGTAATTGTTCATGAAGATGAAAATAGCAGATAGATAGAGTAAGCATTCAATGAATAAAGATTGTATCTTAAGACATAAATAAGGA